TACCCTTGGCTGTCTATATTTGTATGTAGGTCAGTTTTCTGTTGATAGTGTGGGTACCCTTAACCTTGACTGTCTTGTGTTCTGATATCCAAGTCAGTCTCCCGTTAATGGGGTTGGTATCCTTAACCTTGGGTGTCTGTGTATTGGTATCTAAGACTGTCTCCTGTTGATGGGGTTTGGTTTCCTTAACCTTGTCTGTCCATGAACTGGAGTCTAGGTTTACTAACTTTGGCTGTCTGTGTAAGTCAATACAGACCAGCTCATCAACAGATGGTTCCAATAAATGAGTAATCCTTGACCATCTGACCAGACCAATGACCTCTGTCCTGAGTCTGAACAGCATATGTGAGCATTCCAGAGTATATATAGTAAGTCGTATCTCATACTGCAGACATGAAGTTAGACTTAACAACCCACAAACCACACAGGTTTACACTTTGTCTATAATGTAGAAAAACATCCAAGCATTGAATTTATATGCCTTACTTATTAACAGCTAAGCTTAATGTCCAAAATTTTGAAGATCTACTTCATTAAACAGTCCATCAATACAATACACATACCTTCTCAAGTCTCAGTGCAAGTCAATGGTTAAAAGACTTCTTCCCTTATAGGAACAGGGGAATTCACTGCATCTATCTCACTTAGGTGTACGACTTGTGTACATTAATCCTTGTCATCATCTCTTCTACTGAAGATTATTTCTTACCACTATATCATATCACAGCCTTGTCCAGAGATAACGAGGCATACCTGATAAGTTAAACTAAACAATAAAGTATATGGTGTACCTACAGGTTGGTAACAAGTCTAAAAGTGATGTGAGATTTAATGTTGTAGAAAAGTTTCTGGTCTGTAAACATGCTATGGTCCTCTTTTGAAAGTTGATGAAGTGGATATATTAACCACTGCACAATTAGCTTCATGAGCTTTGATAAAGATCAAAGATCTGGAACTGCCTCATAAACTGGAATGGAACAAAAGACAAGCCAACAAGCAACTTGAACATGGTCTCAATGGTACAATGGAGCAATGTCTATGAAAGTCATTCTTCAGACATGCATAAACAGATCAACAGTATGAATCAGACACGGTTGATTGACAATTCAGGTCACTGTGTTACAGTTAGAATACATTCTTATATCAGAGTGATTTCCCTGTTAAAGTCCTGGTCAAGAAGCATTTTCCTCTAATGCAGTTTACCAAAATGGAGAAGTATGACATGGTTAAATCTTATGCAAGAGTGATGAACAATGCATTTTAACAGGTGTATGTCAGTATATAAGCAGTTGAAGATGATTTTAGAAACTGAAATGCATTTTTCTCTATCACTATGTGAAGATTTTATAGAAATGACGACGACCTTGAACATATGACAGTCTTGAGGGAAAGATCTCTGGATTGAGTTTTCTGAAATTATTTTGAAGTTATGACTTAGCTAAACTTTTATCGATGACGACTTTTAACTGGCCAATAGAGATCAATGTCTGGAATTGTGTTTAAGTTCCTCAATATTCAATAGTAAACTTTAGTCAGAATTTTTTATACAACACAAATGCACAATTGTCCTATCATTATGGAAAGCACCTTTTGCTCTGACTTTGACCTTTTAAAGTCTTGATTCAGCTTTAGAGGGTGTTGTCAAGAATGTCTGTGTGAAGTTTAAAAATGATCTTAAATCATTTCTAAAGTAAAAAAAAAAGTAGGATAAAGACAAAGACTTCAAGTTGAGAGTACAAGTGACCTTACTAGCCTGGCTGGCAGCAGAGTGCTCAGCTACAGACTGAATGGTTCTTAGTTCAAACCCAGGTGGGGTTTAATTACTCTGTCCTATTACAATTATACTGGGTTTAGAATTGAAGAATTGGTAAGTATTTTTTGAGAGCAATCATAACAGATCCTGTTCGATCAAATATCACCTAACAAAGTATAATTTTAAGCCACTATCTGTGTAGCTAGACTATAATATCTCCATAGATAACTGTCAGGTATATACATGTACATCTTGGCTATAAGATGTTTACAATGTAAACAAAACTTTAATTTTCTAAATATTTCTGTCAGGCTCTGCTCAATAATGTAAGCATTAATGTCTTAAAACAATAACTCAATTAAATACTTTACATACCGTACTATATCAAGTGTTGATGGGAGTTTCTTTTAATATACCATAGAAAGGACGTAATTATTTTAAACAGGAGCAGATAATGTACCTTATTAGCTGTCACACACAAGAGGCCTTGACAATCACCTGAGGTCTGCAATATTGAATATAAAGTTTATAGGGTAGAAGCTTTCGAGTGTCATGAAAAAGAAATTGTGCCATTAATGATAGTAAGACTTAGGTAATAAGGTTTAATCCCTTGGGGGTCATCCAGTGTCAATATTTGCATACTATAAAAACTGTCATACTATGCTATTAATTCTTACCAAGGTATTTCCAATGAAAAATAAACAACTTTATTCTCAAATATCCAATTTTTCTATAAAAGCTACAGATAAAGCAAAACTTCCCTCCGCCTGAGGAAACACGACACCATAGGGTCATGAAGTTTACAATTTTGGTATAGTACAATAATACCGTTTCATCCATGAAGAGCACTTGATTCTACCATATCTGTGTGTTGAAAAGATATTTTTTGAAATTTGAATCAATTTGACCACTTTTGACCCTACCCCTCAGGCCCCTGTGGGTTTGGGATCATATAATTCTCAATTCTTGCAGAAAAAAGGGCAATCGCTATCCATAGGTCATCATGAGACTTTGTCTCAGGTAACCTAAATTGGGCAGATAACTAGTAGTTAAAATAATAGCTTTGTCAGGGAATGATAACCCACAGTTACAGTCATAGATTTGTCAATATCAGAGACAGATAACTCTCAGTTACAGTAATAGATTTGTCAATATCAGGGACAGATAACTCTCAGTTACAGTTATAGATTTGTATATATCAGGGACAGATATCTCTCAGTTACAGTAATAGATTTGTCAATATCAGGAACAGATAACTCTCAGTTACAGTAATAGATTTGTCAATATCAGGGACAGATAACTCTCAGTTACAGTTATAGATTTGTCAATATCAGGGACAGATAACTCTCAGTTACAGTTATAGATTTGTTAATATCAGGGACATATAACTCTCAGTTACAATTATAGATTTGTCAATATCAGGGACAGATAACTCTCAGTTACAGTGATAGATTTGTCAATATCAGGGACAGATAACTCTCAGTTACAGTGATAGATTTGTCAATATCAGGGACAGATAACTCTCAATTACAGTAATAGATTTGTCAATATCAGGGACAGATAACTCTCAGTTACAGTAATAGATTTGACAGTATACAGGACCAGGGACAGACAACTCAGTCAAACATTTTTCTACTGGCTACAGTACTCATGTAAAAGCCTACCTACTGCACAAAACAGTTAAATTAAAGCTTCACAGCTCCTAGCCAGTTCTTTCTTCAATACAGATCAATACCTCAGTCAAATTGCTGACATAGTCACCAAGCTCCTCTTTATCATGTGGTAGAAATCCTACAGTTTTGAAAGTCCCCTCAAAAGATCATGTTGTAGAACTTCTAGAGTTTGAGAGGCTATTTATATAACTACTTTGTTAATCTCATGTTAGATATCCACATGATTTTACTTTTAAAAATCTTTGCCAAGCATGAAGAAGGTATTCTCAGGATTCTATGATAATATATCTCCACACAGCATGTAGTGGATATCAAAGTATGCCTATTGATATGAAATCTCTATACATGTAGTAGATATCTTTGTGATTGTGTAGTTATAAACCTCCAATCAAAATGTAGTAGATATCTTTATGTTTCTGTAGTTATAAATTTCCACCCATCACCTATTTAATGTCCTAATGATTCTAACATAACATGTAGTAAATATCCTAATGATTCTGTAGTTGTAAATCTTTATCCACCATGTATTTAATGTCCTAATGATTCTAACATAACATGTAAATATTTAATGTCCACCATGTATTTGCTGTCCTAATGATTTTGCAGTTAAATAATTCCATACAACATATTTCATATATCTTAACAATTTTAACACAACATGTGGTAGATATCCTAATGATTCAATAGTTATAAAATATAAATCTCTGCCCAACAGACAGTCAATATCCTAGTGACTCTATGGTTTTAATCTCACAAACTTCATGTGCTTATCTGTTGATCTTAGGTCAATATCAACAAACATTTTAGCCATATATCCATTCATAAATACCTCAAATATGATTCTTCTCAGAAATGTTACACAATTGTATCAAAATCATATGAAATAGTTGAAATACAGTTTTGTAAAAATAAAGAACTTTACTCAGGAACAAATCATTTCAGACAATTATTTAAACATTTTCTTACATGATGTAAAATTGCATTTCTGAATATACAGCGTATAAGCCTGGAAGATGTAATGTGACCATCAGAAAGTTATACAGAAATTTTCTAGAAGCACAGAAACTTCAGATCTTAGATCAATATAGAAATATCTGCATTCACATCAATGGAGGAAATATTATTTCATCAGATTTTTTTATTACAGTCAATTATTAATGTTACTAGGAACAGTTCAATTTAACAGCAGAGGAAGATATAGAATACAGGACAAGCTAAAGTGTATAGTGATACATAGACAGTAAAGGGAAATATCACAGTTCACTGGCGGTCACCATACGACATTCAGACGAGGAAAAATTTATAGGTAGGAAGTATAACACAACACCAAAATGGAACGGAAACTTAAAATCTGAAATCAAGGACATTCAAGACAGGAGTGGATCAAAAGATCAACCAAAATTGTTACTGTAATCATCCAAATAAAGAAATAAACAGTGCTCATCTCCGAACAAAGAGGCAAAACAGCAAAAGCATTACTGTAGATATAAAAAAATCCAGGTAAATATCAGGTGCTGTAACATATACAAAGAATACACATCCAACTATAGGTAGGAGCTTTTGCAAATACATACGGAAAAACTTTCTGAACAAAATGTGTCGCCTGCGAGTATGGTCCATGTTGTCGAAACCTCTGCTTAAATCTGAAATACGTACAATTGTATGGTTAAATAACATCAGTTCTGTTCACCAACATAAAATGTCATCCTTTCTGTGGTGTTGAGTATCCGATACTGAAAAGGAATTTCTTTACTGCATCATAAAGCCACCTCATCTATCATAGTATCAAGGTGTCATTATTTCTGTATATAAATGCCAATGGTGTCATTCAAGGACACTAAGTCAATAGTCATCTTTCTTCAATTCTTATGTCATAATGTTATATTCGATTATATTGCAATATTCTAGTATTAAACTAAACATATTTCAATGCCACCAATTAGATATGTATTTTCATGTCTTAAATTTATTCTAGAATGTTTGTATATTCCGAAGTCATCATTCAAGAACATCCTTCTACATCTATACATTACAACAGTGTTGTCATTTATAGTAATTATAATTGCCATATCACTGTTCAATTTCTGTGTCTTCCTTTTATTCAAAAAGAATCCATTCCAGTGTCATCATTCATTTCTCACATCAAATGAAGTATTCTTACATGAACTAAATTATTCCTAGATTTGCTCAAGTATTCCCACATCAACTGGTGTTGTCCAAAGCTTAAATATTTACAGAATTACCTTATAAATGTAACTAAACAAATCCCATTCTTATATCTGAAGTATTCCTACTTTAACTGGATGGTTCTCCTAGGCAATGAATGTGAAAACTTACAAGAAGGGAGACAACTCTAAGTACAAATAAAGGAAATTTTGTAGTACATAGAATAGAAGTTTTTATAACAAATCATGTAGTAGAATCCTCTACTGGTTGTGTTATAAAAGCTTCTATTCTTTTGACATTACCAACCTGAAGAAAAGGTTCCAAAATAGTTTTGTAGCACATTTTCAACAGAATTTATACATCTATTTTAAACAAGGGATACATTACACCAGCCTGGGTGGCAGTTCTGTATTAAGTAATGGTAATGTTCATATTGTTGGAGATTGTGATCAGCTCTGATGACCAGTGTCGTGTCAGTTCACTGGCATTTATAATCAACATGGACCAAACATGTTGTTGGAGATGGTGACACTTTGTACAATCCTAACCACCATATGACTTTGATGTCTTCTATTGGGAAATATAAATGGTATATAAATTCTTCCATTTACAAAAATTTGATTACAGAGCAATTTCATGACAATCACAAATTACTACTAACAATACACCTCAATATGTGTCATGTTTGTACCTAATGACTGACAGAAATCACATTTAACTTCCTACAAATTCACAAATAAAAATCAGAGTTTAAACAGATCAAATTACAGATTTGAAAATGGAATAAATGGAGATTGAACTTGTATTGAACTGTTCTCAGGTTACAAATCTTTATGTGTGAATAGTATTAAACAACGTGACAAAAGACAGTAGAGATACTAAAAGTCTCCATACTGACACCCATGTTTATAACAAACACAGGCTTGTTGTTAATGTTATCTGTCTATCTTAAACTGCTATATTTCATCTGTGTATTAGGACAGCTGTTTTTTATAAATGAATAATTTCTTCACCTGTACCTAGTGGCACCTTTGTGGGGAATTCCCATCTTATCTATACCACAACAGAAGTCAATTATCTGCAATGAAGCAAGTTTTGAGGACAATGATTTTGTACAATAATGCCCAGATGTATTGATCCTTTAAAAAGCAAACTAGATGTTAAGAGAACAATAGTATTGTGATAACAATGGTTTCACCCATAACAATGGGTCTATTATCTTATATTGTATATGTGAATAGACATGTATATTATATCTCTACCTACATCTCACCTGGAAACTGACCACTTCGGTGGTGGGCCCATGCCAAACATTGATGTGACACTCAAATGATCTAGATCAGGAGAATGTTTTACAATAGAACACAATTAAGTGCAATACACACCGACAATGGCAGTTAGGTCCTCCCATCTGATTGGGTACAAGACTTTTGTTAAGGGAATGTCGTTTTTTGGCAGGTGTCAATTTTTTTATCAATATCGCAAAAGATGATGGGATTTGATTTACTATACAGCAGAATATGTCCTGTACAAACCTGCTCCACAGGAGATTATACCACAGAGGACAGAGTGTGCTAGTATTAGCTGGAGAGGAAAAACCATCGAAGTGCTCCTTATGAAGGGCTGATATGATATAAAACAATTATAATTACTTTGTAGAGTCAAGCGGCAGATACAGCCACTGCCACTTATTTTCTCATTTCCTGAACCCACTAACACTAAGGAGCCACTTGACCATACAATATCTAATGTGACATCAATTCTTCAGTAAAAGGAGTGGGTCAATGTGGCTTGTAAATAGTGTTAAATAGTCATTGTCACTCAGCTTACAGAGCAAACTGCTATGGATTATCACGCTGGAGATCTTGGTTCAATTCCTGTACGGGCTCTCACCAGGCATGTGTTTTCCCCTGGTGTGCTACCAATAGCCTTACAAATAACCTGTATTTCAACTCACTCCAAAAGCCTTATTTATCTACTGTTAAATAGGGAGGAGAATCCAATTGAATGAAACTCCCATAACCTGTATTACATAATGTAAGACTTTGGTACTCTAACAGCCTGTATTTACTCAGCTAAAACAGGACTGAGATCCCATACCCAATAATACTATTAACTGTAAGATTTGGAGACTCTAATAGCATGTATTTCAACTCATTATTATTAGATTTTCATATTTTAACTTTAAATTATATTCAAGGATATTGATTAAACAGTACAATAATATAGGTGATGCTTTAATCATGCATGTTTCTGTATTGTTGTTACAAATAAATATCAGAACACATGTACGGTCACAATAACTTTTCAAAGCTGATCAGGTTTACAATAACACTGATCAGGTTTACATTAACACTGAATACAAGGCCTAGTTTATATCTACCTACAGATTCATTATAAATACAACTTCTATAGTAAACCATAGGTCACCAGGTAAAGTGTGTGTAGACATGTTTACGCCAGGTCTCTGTATAATAAATAATGTCTTATAGATGCTAACAGAGGCCTGCTCTATATAAACATGACTTCATAAACACACTAGTGCAGGTAAACAATTTGATGCTGGCTACAGTAAAATGCATTGCATAACGAACATGTAACTAAAACATATACCTTGTATTAAAACATTAACACATCTTACCTTGATTTACGATATACTGATCACCTGTATATGGATGTGCACTGAGGCTATAATCCCACTGAGTTTATTTCACCCTGTGACACCAAATAAACACGTCCCATCTAAATATGATACAGATAAACAGTGACCAGATATACCTCGGCTACGTCACGCACAGGTGTACTGGTTATACTTGACTGTCGTCGATAAATTAATGAATCACAAGACCAATAACTACCTAGGTCTGATGTCTACAGTTTCGAGTTCTTTAGAGATCCCACACGATAACTGGGACTACCTGAAGTTTCTACATCTGTATATAACACAGTGCCGTGTTCTCTTGTGATCCGACACGATACCTGGATCCATCAAAGAAAACCACTTGACTGTGTATTGCACTTACTAATTAGTGTATCACACAAGCACCATTACAGGTAATCCTGGGGTGTACCTTGACAAACTAGGGTTAATCCCACCCTATAATCTCTCGTCACAGTCCATTGTGACACCTGTAAACTGGGAGATGGACGGAGATTTACGATCAGTATAAAGCCGACAAAAATTTTAGTTTCAGAACTGAGCCTATAGTTAAGATTATGATAGGTACCAATATCTTTATTCATGACTGATCTTCATATACAAAGTTCTACATCTTTAATCTGTAATTATAATCTAGTACATAGGAAAGGTGATAAGGGACAATCGCGGGTTTTGTGTGTACATCTAGATTCAAGATAAGATTATGGTAAACAGTGTTTTTGTGTTAGAAATATTCGATAGAATTTGTAAATCAGTTGAATATTTGATGACTTTATTTTAGGATACAAGCTGCTGATTCCTATGTTTTATAGAACATATATTTCTTTGTCCTTCTTTTTATAGAACATATATTTCTTTGTCCTTATATGGGGGTGTCTGATCAAGATATCAATACTTCTAAAGAAATTAAAAAACAACATTTGTACAGATTTTGTTGTTTGACTTTCAAATTCAAATTCATGTATTAGAAGACGTTCATATTATAAAATGATGTAACTTGAAGCAAAAAGTTGGTATAGTTCAGGAACTGTATCCAAAGTGGTGGAAGTTGTGACTGTGTCATCCTTATATAGTGTCACACTCAACAGAGATTTTGAGGGCATTTTACCTTCAATATCTAAGGAGTTTTAAGGTGTCGATCAATTTGTCTGATACCTATGGAATATGGTATTAACAGCTCACCGTCACTATATACAATATACTGTACAACCTTTACACTATAGACAATACCCACCAATTGTGGGAATAAGTGATTCAATCTTAAATGATTATTGGAGATTTTGGAAATCTAACTGAATGTGTTATCATTAGTACTTTAACTATTAAACAATGTTTTCATTAGAAGTTTTTCACTTTTGCAAAAAACGAATTAACTTCATGCTGTAATCATTTAGGGAAGTTGTAAAGAGATAACACTGATCCCAAGCCTACATACTTCTATCAAAGGTTTTAAAAGGAACAGTGTGAAACAAGATATATCGGAGAAATTGACCACCCACCTTAACATTTTAATAAGCGTACCTGTGTAACCCTGATTTATTTGCCTTGTTTAGAACAAGTCACCTGTAAGTAAAGTGACATGGCAACTTCTGTTACCACGTTTTTACCTGGGTACTCTGTGCTACAAATCATATATAATGATGGTTTTCCTGTATCATACATATTGCTTTACTATTTCTTATTTTTTGGACCAAAACTAATCAATCAATTAGATATTTTGAAAACTTATCCAGATACAGAGAGTCTCATTCTTATATATTTACAAAATAATTTTAACTGTGCTGAATTAAAATGCCCTTTGAACTTTTAAAAATGCCCTTTGAACTTAATTATGCTAGGAATCACAAACAAAACTAAGATCAAAAGATATCAGTTTAGTAATCTTTCCCATTAACACTTGTGCACTGCATCAAAATCTGTTAATCATTGTTGGTTTTTGTGATGCTATCATCCATAAAGCCAGCTGTAACCTATCTCCTATCTTCACATGTAAAAAAGATCTATAGGCTGATGAAGGACGTTCTACAGTTGATACACTCCCGTAAATTCATTGCATTTATTTTTTGTTTCCTCACATATCTTCCTACAGTTAATCAAGTATATAATTAAAGTCATTGTTTTTTTGTGATTTTGTTTCCGGGGTTTAAACCTGACTCAGCATTACTAGACATGTTTGTGGCGAAGGAAGAGCCTGGCTACAAAAAGATTTCCAGATTATAAATCAGAAACGCAAGAACAAATAGCAACAGAAATAATTACACAAAGTCAGAGAGAGGTAGATCACAGGACGAGATAAATCTTTGATGATAACCTTGATTGATAGGTACAAGATTATACCGTTTCTGGTTTCATATCTTGGTATCATGACCACAACACCTCCCTATTTTTGATGATAAAGAGTTTGTTTGTTTTGGTATTTTATCACAAGTATAGGATGCTTAATTGTGACTATTAGGCTACATTCTTGTTTTTATTACCAAATCTGGCCTGCATGGAGTGAAATCAGAAACATAAATAATTGATAGTAAGGCCAATGTAACTGATACCGGGACTGAAAGGATTTGGGTGTGTAAACTTACATTAAACACTCCTACACCAAGGGAGATAAATAGTGAGACTGACAGGAAAACTGGAATGACCCCAGAGATCTAACCAAGTGCCCACCATTGTAGGATCTTTATTTGTTCTCTAAAGGTTTAATCTTTTCTCGTCTTCCCTTTTATTTGCTTTTAATTCTATGACATTTGAGAATTCCTCTTTAAAAATTTATGATTTTCAACTTTCAAATCCAAGATGGTTACTTGACGACTATTTTTTTTTCTTATCAGTCCTGAAATGGACGCTGCACAATTTGGACAGAGGACATGTAGAACTTACAAATACATGAGATCCACAAGGGCTTTTAGTGGCTATCTTTGATTTTTGAAATGTTCTTTGAAAATTAGATCTTTCCTTACATTGCTCTTTGTTCTGATGTTTTTGCTCTTAATTACAGAAAATGAACAGAAAATTAAAAATTTCCCCTTAAACTGTAAAAACCTGTTGGTCATTTTTCTTTTTTTTCAGTCCCAAAGTCAGAAAAACACAACTAGCGTGAAAAAATAACCAATGTACAAATTTTGAGAAATAGTCATTCAGTATTTCTTAAGAAAAAGAGATAACAAACTTTCATTGTGAAAATACACAATGGTCGCCTGTCTGACCATTTTGGTTTTTCTAATCAGAGCCAAAATCAAATTAGCACAACTAGGGACCAAGGGGAAACTACATATGAAATTTAAGAAAGATCCACTTCATACTTCTCCAGAAATAGTGTTGACAAAAACTTTCACAGATAAAATCCAATACCATAAATGTCAGCAATTTAGTTTCCCTAATTAATCTCTCAATAGAATGAACACAACTAGGGACCAAGGAAAATATTTATACAATTTGGGAAAGATCAATCAGTACTTTTCAAGAAATAGCAATAACAATGATACATAGTAAACATACAAAGATGGCTGCCTGTCAGCTATTTTGTTCTTTTAATCAGCCCCCAAAATCAAAAGGGCAAAAAATGGGACCATGGGGAACCAATATATAAAATTTGGGAAAGATCCATTCAGTAATTCTCAGAAAAAGCTATAACAAGTATTGTGTAAGGAGAGATGATGGACAGATGAGAGACCAAAGTTGTAGGGCAATTTGAACAAATCATGCTTTTGAGCTAAAAATATTCTTTCTCATCAACAGATATATCATTAGGATTATTTTTTTAAAGAAATGAAAGAAAAAAGGGCCAATACAACTGAAATGCATGAAACAGATATTTGATAAATTGATTGAACAATAACAGATTTATGTAAAAGTAAAGATAAAGACTTAAAAATTAACTTTTTTTATCATTTGATGGTTCAGATTTTAAAAAGTATGCTAGTTCACCAAATTTAAGTCCACGGAAATTTTTTGAGAGATAATGTAAAGATTGCTTTGTCGTCACAAAAATAACGAACTACCATTAGGACTGTTCTGTTACTATATACATGAATATTTATGGATCTCTAGACATATATCAGAAAACATTTCTCTTCATAAAGAATCTTGCTAAGAGCAGGGTTTAGCTGAATAAGAACAGTTCCCAATAGAGCTATCAATGTCAGTAACACACAGACAAAGCACATTCCCGTCAGTGTACTAGTACTTTGGAGGACAGAATGGACATAATCCAGTCAGTGTAGTACTATGGAGGACAGAATGGACATAATCCAGTCAGTGTATCTAGTACCCACACAACATAATGTTTATCTAGTTTCCTATGTAAAAATAATCCAGTCAGTGTATCTAGTACTATGGAGGACAGAATGGACATAATCCAGTCAGTGTATCTAGTACTTTGGAGGACAGAATGGACATAATCCAGTCAGTGTATCTAGTACTATGGAGGACAGAATGGACATAATCCAGTCAGTGTATCTAGTACAATGGAGGACAGAATGGACATAATCCAGTCAGTGTATTTAGTACTATGGAGGACAGAATGGACATAATCCAGTCAGTGTATTTAGTACTATGGAGGACAGAATGGACATAATCCAGTCAGTGTATTTAGTACTATGGAGGACAGAATGGACATAATCCAGTCAGTGTATTTAGTACTATGGGTGAAATCATCATCTACATCAAGCCACCCTAACAGGATAGCATATTTCATCTGTAGAATATTGTTGCCACTATACGTTTTTTCCTTATGGAATAATAATACTAATAAAAGTTTTGTGTTAGTAACATAGAAGACACATTGCAGATATAAAGAATGTCTTCCATCAATAGCCAACACTCTCTACAGGTTTTACATTCATAATACTGCTGGAACATTTTACCTGAGTGTACCAACACCAGTTCTGTTCACTTATACCATTAGATTATAGAAAAACTGTATTCTTGACTTCATTGACTCCATTGTACGTAAACATTGTGTTTCTGCAGTATCTAATAAAACACAGGAAGTAGCCTACATTACCAAAATTACCATAAATGTATAATAAAACTCCTTGTATATTACCATATCTGTGTAATAAATCTGCCTGTAGATTACCATATTTGTGTAATAAAACTCCCTGTATATCACACTACCCCACTTGTCTAATAAAAACCGCTGTATATCACATTATCACATTTGTTTAATAAAACTGTATCATATAGGCATAATCCCTCACTTCCCATGTCATATAGGCATAATCCCTCATTTTCCCTTTCATATAGGCATAATCCCTTACTTCCCATATCATATAGGCATAATCCCTCACTTCCCATATCATATAGGCATAATCCCTCACTTCCCATATCATATAGGCATAATCCCTCATTTTCCCTACTTCCCATATCATATAGGCATAATCCCTCATTTTTCCTTTCATATAGGCATAATCCCTTACTTCCCCTTTCATATTGGCATAATCCCTTACTTCCCATATCATATAGGCATAATCCCTCACTTCCCATATCATATAGGCATAATCCCTCACTTCCCATATCATATAGGCATAATCCCTCACTTCCCATATCATATAGGCATAATCCCTCATTTTCCCTTTCATATAGGCATAATCCCTTACTTCCCCTTTCATATTGGCATCACCTTATATTCCTTATATCAAACAAGCATATCCTCCTCACACCCTTCTTCAAATAGGCATAATCCCTCACTCCCTGTATCAAATTGGCAAAACCCCTCACTTCCCTTACTCCCCATATCAAAAAGGCATGTTACCCCTCACACCCTGTATTAAAATGAATAACTCACCAACCCCTGTATCAAATAGGCACTCCTTCAACCCTCCTTATATCAGAAAGGTAACACTTCCTGTACTAAAAATATCAAATTTCTAAGGATTGTCAGATCATGTAAGAGCTAGGTTTCCCAAGAAACTTCAAAAACACAATGCACGCTTTCCTCACTTTAATAAAACATTTCTACAAGATTACCTGGCAAACTTTCATTGCAGTCAATCAGCCTGGGGTGATGGCAGTACCGGTCTGGTGTCACTAAAACAACAAGAAACAAATAAACAAATCAATAAGTTTAGAAAACGTAGTTTTTTTGTTATCTATATTTCATGTACTAGTTCACTAAGTAGATTATTTTCCTCGAGCATTAATCTTGTAAAGACAAATCAAATTCCACCTTCCCCTCATTGTTATTTTGTAATAGGGACTTTCCTGACCATGACTGTCTTGTAAAAAAAAAAAAATCTCAGCTAGTGTAAGAAGGGAGATAACTCTGTCAACACCATTTCTCATCAGCTGATGGTGGGGTAGCATCTGCTGTTCTTCAGACACCTGGTCATCAGGTATGAACAGCTGACAGTTTTGTAAACATCAATTTTTCTTAAGTGCCAATTCTTTTAAGACAATTTTCAACCTTCATAAGTGTCTGTATAATAAATTAACCATTTCTCATTGTCAACTAACAATATTTTACTTACATATAAACAAATTTCTAACCTACCTCCATATAAAACCAGATCTATATATACACATCCCAGATCTATATATACACATCTGTGTATTTACATCTGTGAATACTTTCAATTTTCCCAAAAGAAAGATTGATAACTTTCAGTTTCTTTGTTAACTTATAGCTTGTTTATGTGTAATGATGTTTTGAAATTTTTGCTTATCTGCTCTCACAATTTAACACAGAAATGGTATTCTATACAATCGGTTTATAAGTAACAACTGGACCTAGTTCTGTCCTCAACAACACAAGGTTTCTTGTGATAAATACTGACATTGACTATAAACCTTGTATTACTGTAAGTTGTCTATAGTAAATACTGTTTATCTTTTCGATCACTCAAATGTGCTGTGAACACTCACAAAGTAAATTGTTCAAAATATAATTTTCCTGATTAAAATCAAAACAAACAATTCACTTTTTGTTTTGTTCAAGTTCAAGTTTTGAAATTAAACTTCCATAATTTGTATGCATGATTTCAGATCTGCTTGATCTTTACATGGGACTGATATCACATTGATAACATGATACATGTTATATTGGGTTACGATTTCATTGTAGCAGTGAAAGTACCGTAAATTTAATACCAAACATGAACAAAAAGCAACATAAATAAACTATACAATAAGGGAGTAGTATGTGACAGATGTACAAGTTAGTAGAGTAAACCCAGGTATCAGTAACTCCTACACAAAATAACATTTAGGTAGGGGTAACTCCTACACAAAATAACACTTAGGTAGGGGTAACTCCTACACAAAATAAAACAAAGATTGACAAATAAGATAGATTACAAACGTATATTCAAATCTGGTGAGAAGGATGAGGTGCTAGTAAACATATCAACAAAAATCATCCCATCACCAGATTAACTCCATATTTTCTTTATACAGAAAATTCCTTTTTCCTCATACATTAAATAGGGTGCCTGATATAGTGTATTACATATATACAATGTTGGTTGTACCTATTGATAGGTACAGGAAAACAGATTAAAGAGAAACAAACAACCAATGAGTAGATCCATAGACATTACACTTCTCTGAATCACCAATCCTTAGAGTAAGCTTTTTAGTTCTATGACCCCAAAGGATGATATCATGAAACTTTCTAAAATAACCGGATCTGAAATCCATTCCATAACCATTAGATAGGTTTTCACCTATTTGTCTAAAACTATCTTCTAAATTTGACAAGGACTGCTAATTGGTGATAAGGGGAGATAACTGGTGATAAAGGGAGATAATATGTACATCTGGATGATGAATATGTTTGTTTATCAATCCTTGCACCGTTTACACTGAGAACTTTATCCTCACTCAGCAGTAACTCCACTGTGTATCCCTATCACTTGTTAAACAATATTTTTATCATCACACTTTTATGGGTATTATGAACTTCAGAGATAGGGAGCCATATAAACGTACAAACTCAGTAAACATCAGCATATTGTTATTGCCAATAAGTCTATCTGTTGTTTGTTAAATTCTATAAACACTGTCCCTTCCCACCTCCCCATCAGCTGAGTTGGAGACCTACTAAACAGATAGGCTCATATTTATTTTCCAAACAGGATTACAATTTATCTATCACTTTATTTTCCTACAAACAGAAATCATGTAACTGAATGCCAGTCATTAAATATCCACACAACTGTTACTGACTCATCCAGATTTCTATAGAAGCTTAGTACAGCAGTAGTTTACACAGAACTTTTTAATGAGGAGGGCACATTGAAAAATGTCTTTTCTTGCTGAATACAAAACTCTGGCTGATGTAATCCATTTCAGCTGTACAGCCATGGAGAGACAGACACTGTTCTAAAATCAGCTGTTTCCCTTTAATACTATGACAATGACAAGGATTTCTATTTATCAGTGTATTGTTATAGGTATCAGACCTCTGTTGTATTTTGTAACCATTGCTGTAATCAACAATCAAAGGTCACTATCCCTCTATCTGACCCCTCCTCCTTGAGTGCATCCCATGAGGATCTCACTGACGATAATTTCTTCCCAACTGGGAAATGTCTATCAAATCCTTCGACAATCTACATCTCCACACCCACAGATGATTGCACTACTTCACACTGTCTTGTTTACACACCAAATTACATTGGATATTGTACATCACAATCCCCCCTACCTCCCCTTCCTCCCCTCCTGTACAATCTGATCTGTGAGAATATGATAAGGGTCTTTACTTGGAGAAACACACTTCCATGGGTCATCAGTTCCCCCACCAGTATTATCGGTCAAGAACAATTAACTACCATCAATTAGTGGCCCTAACAGACCTCATCCTGACACTGAGTAACCTTGACAACATAACTCAATCATTCCAGTTTTGACTGGACAAATTGGAATGAAGCATCAGAGACCAGCAGATATACAAACAGACAGAAAAAAAGACAAAGGAATCACACAAAAACACCAATATCACAGGAGATTAAATGGAAAAGCTAGATGAACACAGATAAAGAGGAAAAGGCAAAAGAGACCTCACTAAAAAACACTGAGAGAGAACAATCAAAATTACAGAGGGTCAGACAGACAGATGGAAGGACAGATCTCACAAAAAACACTGAGAGAGAACAAACAAAATTACAGAGGGTCAGACAGACAGGTGGAAGGACAGATCTCACAAAAACACTGAGAGAGAACAAACAAAATTACAGAGGATCAGACAGACAGATGGAAGGACAGACAGATGGAAGGACAGACAGACAGATCAGGACAATGATAAAGAAAAAGGAAGAGTTCACAAGTCTGATGATTGTTATCATACAATCTAGTGCAGAAAGTAAGCATTAAAAAAATTTGTGATTTCATCAACTTCTGCCAAATTTTAAGTTAATGACCTATATATAAAAACTGCTAGAGAAATAAACACATCAGGTCTTCTTTACGGGATTTTTGTAACAAGTTAAATGTGGTGGAGATGATGGAAGGTGTACAAGATCACATTAGAGCTGTCAGGTTTTATAGTTGAGGAGGGCAGGTGAGGCAGGCTAGCACCCTTGATTTAATGCTCCAGGAAATTACCTCTGATTGCTGAAAAGTAGAATTTTAAGTACAGCCATATCTACAATACATCCAGGTATACTTTCTACACAACAAATCTTTTTAAATATTAATTCATTATAACATCTGCCAAAGAATCGCGATTACATGTTAAATGTTCCTGGCTCTGCTGATGGGTTACCTAAGAGAGACAAATAGAGTGCAGTCAGTGATATGTTCCATTAGAACATCTGTATACATTTTAACAGTAAGTTTAAAGCTAACCTTGCTCACCATGCTGATGCCCAGATGGGTAGGATGTAATCAATCTAAGTATTTACCTACTAGTTGTACAATCAGCTGCTACAAGGAAATTAAATTGGAGAGGTACAAGCCAAGTATTGAGAATCTTACGGAATGACAGAGGCAGAAAACTGCAAACTGTTGCAGATAAAAGGCAAGAGGAAATGGATGAAAAAACATCAAATGGACAGGAAAATAAGTTTATACAAGTGTTTCAAACATAAAGGGTACAAAAGACTGAAATAAAAAAATACTTTGAAAATGATAAGATGCCAAAGAAAAAAAGGGAAAGAATTTTATATGCGTGTCTTAAACATGGCAACAAATGCTTCCTACATTTCTGGCAGTCGGAAGAAAGACTTCACAGGTACTGTAAAGTAGGACAGGAACAATTGGGCAGGCTTTTAGTTTGTCTTATACACCAATCTGATCTACTGTCTGTAAGGGTAGGCTGGCGACTCTGATCTACTGTCTGTCAGAGCAGGCTGGCAATGTGTCTTACAAGCCTCTGTTCTATTGTCTGTCAGGGCAGGTTGGCAGGAATTTTGTCTTACAAAATGCTGATCTGCTGTCTGTCAGGGCAGACTGGCAGTATGTCTTATACAACTCTGTTCTGTTGTCTGTCAGGGCAGGCTGGCAGTGTGTCTTATACAACTCTGATCTGTTGTCTGTCAGGGCAGGCTGGCAGTGTGTCTTATACAGCTCTGTTCTATTGTCTGTCAAGGCAGGCTGGCAGTGTGTCTTACAAAACTCTGATCTACTGTTTGTTAGGGCAAGCTGGCAGTGTGTCTTATACAACTCTGATCTACTGTCTGTCAGGGCAGGCTGGCAGTGTGTCTTATACAACTCTGATCTATTGTCTGTCAGGGCAGGCTGGCAGTGTGTCTTATACAACTCTGATCTACTGTCTGTCAGGGCAGGCTGGCAGTGTGTCTTATACAACTCTGATCTATTGTCTGTCAGGGCAGGCTGGCAGTGTGTCTTATACAACTCTGATCTACTGTCTGTCAGGGCAGGCTGGCAGTGTGTCTTATACAACTCTGATCTACTGTCTGTCAGGGCAGGCTGGCAGTGTGTCTTATACAACTCTGATCTACTGTCTGTCAGGGCAGGCTGGCAGTGTGTCTTATACAACTCTGATCTATTGTCTGTCAGGGCAGGTTGGCAGTATGTATCTTATACAACTCTGTTCTGCTGTCTGTCAGGGCAGGCTGGCAGTGTGT